CTACCTGTTTTACAGTCAAAGGGCTGCTGAAGGTAACTGCAGTTGTCTTTTTACTTGTTCAAATGACAAAATTGTTTCTCGTATTGTCACCAAGAATCCAGAAATCGTGGAACTATCTGAAAGAGGCTGTATGGACTTAAGGGACATGAATATTTTGATTTCTTTATTTATCTTATTTCATTAATTCCAACACCCGAGCATTCACTTCTCTTACAGCTCCATCTATAAATATATTGAACAACCATAGTGACGTCAGACATTTTCCTGTCTGGAGATGATATAGGGAAGTAAAAAATTCATACTTCACAGCCTCAAAAAACTTTCACAGTTCTTCCAAGGTTCCTCAAGACTCTTGAAAGTAGAATTATTGAACACTTATTCAGAAAAAAAAATATACTTTTTATTGAAGTTTTAAGTGAGTTTTCTTTGTTTTGTCTGACAAAAAAAAAAAATGGTTGAGTCTGATGTAGCAGTAGCTGCAGCCCCTCTCGCAGGTTCTTTTCTGTTTATAACATTTGAAGGTCAGTCGCTGTGCGGAGTGGGGGAAGTTGCAGTAATTGATTCTTAGTTTGTCAGGTGTCCATCATATATTAATTTGTCAATTTGTTGTCATTTGACATAAGTAGCAGCAAATTGTCATCAGCAGATTGTGAGAATGATTGCATATCATCCTGGCACTGATTGCACAGATTCCTTGTTTTTTATGAATTTGGTGTCTTATTGAATCCTTTGCAGAGAAGAATGGTCACTGTGTGTGTGTGTGTACTCACCTAATTGTACTCACCTAATTGTGGTTGCAGGGGTCGAGACTCAGCTCCTGGCCCCGCCTCTTCACTGATCGCTACTGGGTCCTCTCTCTCTCTGCTTCCTGAGCTTTGTCATACCTCTTCTTAAAACTATGTATGGTTCCTGCCTCCACTACTTCACTTGCTAGGCTATTCCACTTGCTGACAACTCTATGACTGAAGAAATACTTCCTAACGTCCCTGTGACTCGTGTGAGTCTTCAGCTTCCAGTTGTGACCCCTTGTCCCTGTGTCCCCTCTCTGGAACATCCTATCTCTGTCCACCTTGTCCGATTTCCCTTAACCTTTCCTCGTACGACATTCCCTTGACCTTTGGGACTAGCCTTGTTGCAAACCTTTGTACTTTCTCTAACTTCTTGACGTGCTTGACCAGGAGTGGGTTCCAGACTGGTGCTGCATACTCCAGTATGGGCCTAACATACACAGTGTGCAGTGTCTTGAACGATTCCTTATTAAGATATCGGAACGCTATTCTCAGGTTTGCCAGGCGCCCGTATGCTGCAGCAGTTATTTGGTTGATGTGTGCCTCCGGTGATGTGCTCGGTGTTATGGTCACCCCAAGGTCTTTCTCCCTGGGTGAGGTCTGTAGTCTTTGTCCACCTAGCCTATACTCTGTCTGCAGTCTTCTTTGCCCCTCCCCAATCTTCATGACTTTGCATTTGGCTGGATTGAATTCGAGAAGCCAGTTACTGGACCACATGTCCAGCCTGTCCAGGTCTCTTTGCAGTCCTGCCTCATCCTCGTCCGATTTAATTCTTCTCATCAACTTCACGTCATCTGCGAACAGGGACACTTCAGAGTCTATTCCTTCCATCATGTCGTTCACATATATCAAAAATAGCACTGGTCCTAGAACTGACCCCTGTGGGACCCCGCTCGTAACAGGCGCCCACTGTGATACCTCTTCACGTACCATGACTCGTTGCTGCCTCCCTGTCAGGTATTCCCTTATCCATTGCAGTGCCCTCCCCTTTACATGCGCCTGATCCTCCAGCTTCTGCACTAATCTCTTGTGGGGAACTGTGTCAAAGGCCTTCCTGCAGTCTAGGAAAACGTAATCTACCCACCCCTCTCTCTCGTGTCTTACTTCTGTTACCTTGTCATAAAACTCCAGGAGGTTTGTGATACAGGATTTGCCTTCCATGAACCCATGCTGGTTTTCATTTATAATCTTGTTCCTTTCCAGGTGTTCGACCACTCTCCTCCTGATAATCTTCTCCATGACTTTGCACACAATACATGTCAGAGACATAGGTCTGTAGTTTAGTGCCTCGTTTCTGTTTCCTTTCTTAAATATGGGGACTACATTAGCTGTCTTCCATTTCTCAGGTAGTTGCCCAGTTTCAAGGGATGTGTTGAAGATTGTGGTTAGAGGCACGCACAGCATCTCTGCTCCTTCTCCTGGTTTTCATTTATAATCTTGTTCCTTTCCAGGTGTTCGACCACTCTCCTCCTGATAATCTTCTCCATGACTTTGCACACAATACATGTCAGAGACACAGGTCTGTAGTTTAGTGCCTCGTTTCTGTTTCCTTTCTTAAATATGGGGACTACATTAGCTGTCTTCCATTTCTCAGGTAGTTGCCCAGTTTCAAGGGATGTGTTGAAGATTGTGGTTAGAGGCACGCACAGCATCTCTGCTCCTTCACTAAGAACCCATGGGGAGATGTTGTCCGGTCCCATCGCCTTTGAGGTGTCAAGGTCACTTAAGAGCTTCTTCACCTCCTCCTCAGTTGTTCGTATGTCATCCAACACTTGTTGGTATATTCCCTCTTGATGTTCCCTTCTGTGCTGTCTTCCCACAGCCCTTCCTGTCTCTACTGTAAAAACTTCCTTAAATCTCCTGTTCAGCTCCTCGCATACCTCCTGATCATTTCTTGTGAGTTCTCCACCTTCTGTCCTTAATCTGATCACCTGGTCTTTGACTGTTGTCTTCCTCCTGTGTGTGTGTGTGTGTGTGTGTGGACGGAGTGACTCCAGCGTTTGGATTGATTGACCACATCAGAAGCCCCATTCGTGCAAGTTCCCGGAGCTAATAGATTTGGGTAATTTCAAGAATGTGTTATCACTCACCCACATTACCTGTACCTGGAGTTTACGTGGAGAGAGTTCCGGGGGTCAATGCCCCCGCGGCCCGGTCTGTGGCCTGTGATCATATAATGGACTTTATTTTTACTGCCAATTCTTCGATGATTCAGGATAGAGGTAACACACCTCTATATCACTCTTAGTATTTATTTTGGTGTTGGTGCCTTGTGAGCACATTCTTTAATTATGGAAATCATGATCTCGACCAAATTGGTGTGCTAGTGAGAGGTGCCTTTGGGTAACGTGAATTGATAAGTTCTGTCCTTTGATGATTAAAGGATCTTGATGTGTGATGTGCCCCATGGTGTGATTTTTCTGCTGCCCAGTTATGTAGATCTTGTAGGAGTAAGAAGTGTTGATGCCACAGATTACATACTTCTGGATCATGGTCTGGTTATGTAGTATCTTGTAGAGCAATGTTCAATAGGGTATTGGGCTATAAAGTAGAATACTATGGGGTGGTTGAATCTTGTTATGGAAATCAGGGGCTCCTATTAACCCATCTGAATGATCTGCTTAGTGGTATATCAGAACCTGCTTTGCCTACCTCTGAATATTTCTTCAGCTGGCTTCAGCTTTCTCTGATTATTTTAGTCAGAATATAGAGTATTCATTTGGATTTAGATTAAACTCAAGCACATTCAGAGTTCTCTGCGATTGTTCCAGCTCATAATGTATCACAGATTACCTTTCTCAGCTTTCTACAGCAGTTTGCAAGGGTTCTGGGATACATAAGGGGTTCTAAGAAGACATTGTGCATTAGAGCAAATAAATGCTTGAAAATCTTGCCCGCATATGAAAGTGCTGTTCTTTTCAAAGCTATGTTGCTCATCCTACTGTTTTGAAAGGGGATGTTTTGCACTGACGGTGAAGGAAGCTTTGGTTTACCTACTCAAGAAAAATTTCCTTGGTTCAGAAAACTTGTCAAGTTATTGTCCTGTTTCTGACCTTATGTTCCTTTTTAAACTGAACATGCTGTTTTTGATCAGCTGTGTCCTTTTCTTGAGTGGAGTAATATTTTACTGTGTGTTCGATCTGTGTATTGACCATTTCATGCAACTGAGATGATTTTGTTTGAAGTTTTCTGTGATTTGATACTGAACATTTGTTTCAGAAATGCATTATTGCTAATTTTGTTGGACCTATGCTGCATTTGATAACACTAATCATGGATTACTGACGAGATCTATTTCAGCTGTGGCTTCGTGGATATTGCATTGTCGCTTCTGAAATCGTACCTTTCTGGTTGATTTTGTCTGATTAAAAAAGCCAGTGAAATTAGATAATGTTATAGCTTGGAGATGTATCCTCAGTTATAACTTGTCTTTGGGAGACAGTGTTTTCTAGACACAACTTTTTTTTTTTTTTTTTTTTAGTCTTTCACCTTAAAAATTGGGGTCCTACTGTACTCTGCTCATTTTAAGGTCTTCATTCCTCCCATATAAAAGCAACTGCAACTGGTCACTATTTCCCCTATTTAGTAGACTGACATGTTCTTTATTTTTTTTTTTACTGAGGTGATGTTCATACTTTTGTAATATATGAACCTCCAGTGTGACTGTTTTAGTCTCTGGACATTTCCTGATGTGTGCCACCATTTTCAGTTATTTTCAACAAAATATAATGAGTGTCTTGGCATTCAGGGAGAAAATTCATAAAGCACCTAGTTACACAGTATCCTCAGTAATTAGTTATAGTACTCTGTACGGGACTCCATTGGGAAGTGGAAAGGAATTATTCTTCTTCCATAAGCTATTCATGTCGTAAGTGGTGACAACAATACTGGGAGAAAGGGGCTAGTAACCCCTTCTCCTATACATTGCTAAATTTATAAAGAGAAACTCATTTTTCTTTTTAGGTCACCCTGCCTTGGTGGGATATGGCTGGTGTGTTAAGAAAAACTAAGGGAATAATATAGTACCAATAATGGTTGTCACTTTACCCCCCTGCACCTTCCTGTGATAATTAGAGAATGCATCTTGTGATGGGTTGCTTTTGCTAACACACAGTAGTTGCTCATCACTAAGCCATGGTCACCAAACAGCAAGAATAGTTATTTTTACATTAAATGTATTATTATTCAGTCTCACTAATGTTTCTTTCTCAGGTTTGTATATGAAACGGAGCACTTCAATGGTGTAGGAGAACTTCTAGAGATTTTGGGAAGGTAAGTTCTCGCACTCTTGTTTGAATTGTTTGAAGCCATGTGTTTGAGTAAGATTTGCAAGGGAAAGTGTTAGAGTGGAAGCATTTTATTTTTTTGCATGGAGCTAACCACTTTGTGCAGTTGCCCTCATTATAGTGACTCCACACAATACTAACACCCAGTGCATTATTTTTGTTGTGTAATAGTAGAAACATTAAGTTTTATCTCGGTGGATAGAATAGCTATAGGTTCCTTCTCCCTCTTTCATAACTCTTGTGTCACATTGGTAGCAAGAAGATAAGATTAGATAAGATTTTTTTCAGGTTTTTAACCACAGAGGGTTAGCCATCCAGGATAACCCAAGAAAGCCAGTGGATCATTGAGGACTATCATATTTTCCATTGTGGTCCATCAAACTTGTCTCTCAGGATGCAACCCACACCAGTCGACTAACATCCAGGTACCTACCTACTTGCTAGGTGAATGGGGACAGCGGGTGTAAGGAAACTTGCCCAATGTTTCTACCCTTGCCAGGGATCGAACCACGGACACTCGGTGTGTGAGACGAGAGTGGCCTACCAGGCCACGGAATACCATAGCAGCAGTAGTAATGGTTTTATCAAACTGCATCTCACTGATGAGTAACTAGCTACTGCCATCATCCTCAGTTAAATGTTGTTCAGACTGTTGTCACAGGTACTAGTAAGGGCTTTGGTAGTTGCCTCAGAGCATCTGATTGATTTGAGCCAGTAAAGCACCTAAACTACTAGGAACACCTTCAGTTCTTGAACATGTGCTCATTAGAGTGGAAGAAAGAGAGATACATGATAATATATACCTGGAAAGTGCTGGAGGGCCTGGGCCTAAATCTGCACACTGCCATTACAACATACTGGAGTGAGAGATATGGGAGGAAGTGTAGAATAAACCCAGTGAGGAGTAGGGGTGCAGTGGGGACAATAAGGGAACACTGTATCAACATCCGGGGTCCCAGACTATTCAACATCTTACCAGAAGATATCAGAAACACGGCTGGGACAAGTGTAGAAGCTTTCAAGAGGAAACTGGATAAGTATCTTCACCAGGTGCCAGATCAACCAGGCTGTGATGAATATATGGGGCAGCGGGCCTCGAGCAGCAACAACCATGGTGACCAGGCAAACACCAGACGAGCCTGGCCCATGGCCGGGCTCGGAGAGTAGAGAAACTCTCGAAACTCTTCAAAGGTATATCAGAGGACATGTGTGTGTGCTTACCTCATTTATATGAAAAACAGTGTGTAGTGATTTTTTATAACATTCATCTCTTTATATATATTCATATACAATAGACATAATTCATCTGGGTTACAGCCCTGAAAACTGTGCTGCCAGTGATTTCCGAGACTTATAGAATGAGAAACGTAGGAAAAATAGGGTTGCGTTCCTCAGAATCAAAAAAAAAAAAAAAAATTACTAATAGTTTAAAAAATGATTTTTCTATGTTCTCCATGGGGAAGTGGAACAGAATTCTTCCTCCGTAAACCATGCATGTTGTGAGAAGTGACTAAAATGCCGGGAGCAAGGGGGGATAGTAACCCCTACTCCTGTATACATTACTAAATTTAAAAAGAGAAGTTTTTTTTTTTTAGATCACCTTGGCTTGGTGGGATATGGCCAGTTTGATGAAAAAAAAAATTCTTTGTAATTTTGTCAGTGAGGGCGCTGTGTGAAATACCTGAACTCCTACAGGGTTCAGATGATGAAAAGGAAGAACACGTGTATCTTAAAAATGGTTACATTATTACTGTATAGTATTTGTTACTTACCTTTAAGTCAATTTGGTGATGCTTAACATCTTGAGTGGAAAAAGTGGTTGTGGGCCCAGGGTGATGGGGTGCTGAAAGTTGGGATCCTGTGATGTTGCTGCAGCTTCATCAGTTGATTGTTGTAGTGAAGTTCTCTGGTATTCTGTCATATGCCACTGGTTTTGGTTTACCCTGCAGTTCTATATACAGCCTATTGTGCACTCTAAATCAATTCCAGACCTATATGTCCACTTGTTTTCTGGCTGTTCTACTTCCTCCACACGCACTGGTTTATAGTATGATGAGACTTTTTCCAGTAGCAAGGCCATCAAGTGGAACACCTCTGTTTTTCAATACATGCCCTAAATTTTGTTTTATGTATTTAGTTGTAATGATGTATTGCTCACACTTTTCACTGTCACATTGAGGATTACTCATTGTACATGCCTTTATCTTTTCCTGTTCATTATCTTCCTTGCTTCATTTGCACTCTCCCTTTCAGGGCTAGAACAATGGAGTTGCCCAGTGTGTAATGATGGGTCTCCTGCCTGCCTGCCTGCCATGGCACTACATAAAAGAAATGCATGCTAACAATGGAAATTAATTCTGCTCCAGTTTACCTTAACCCCTTTCAGGGTGGGTCCATTTGTACTATGGCTTTCAAGCCCAGGTTGGTCCTGTTGTTCTGCAGGATGAGCTCAGCTCTCTCAGATAAGCTGTGAGCAGTAAATTTGGACCATATGAGAGAAAGTGTGCACCGGATGAAAAAAAAAAATCCTGCAGCACGCAGTGAACAACAAAAGAAAAGTGACTTTTTTTTTTTATTTAAAACACCGAATTTATGGTGTATTTTCGTATGGTTTTTATGGTTGTATTCTCGGTTCCTTGGTCTCATTGGATAGAATGGAAGATATATTACAGAAATAGAGATGATTTTGATTAGTTTAGGACTAAACATAGCTTGAAACTGAGGTCAAAATACCAGAAACATTCAATTTTTGCCTATATACCAGTTTGGAGGGATATGTTGTGTATCTTTATATGTACATGTATATGCTTCTAAACTGTTGTATTTTGAGCACTTCTGCAAAAACATTGATTATGTGTGAGTGAGGTGAAAGTGTTGAAAGATGATGAAAGTATTTTCTTTTTGGGTCACCCTGCTTCGGTGGGAGACAGCTGACTTGTTAAAAAAAAAAAAAACCAGAGTACATAAATTGTCATTCACCCAATGTGCATCCAGCTGATCAGTCTAATATGGGTTTACAAATGCATTGACATTTTACAATTGTTAAAATAATTCAGTAGTCTGCATAACAGTAAATCATCATCGTCGTCGTCGTCTTCGTCTTCAAGTCGGCCGTTTCCCACCGAGGCAGGGTGACCCATAAAGAAAGAAAATCCCTAAAAAGAAAATACTTTCATCATTATTCAACACTTTCACCTCACATACACATAATCACTGTTTTTGCAGATGTGCCCAGAATACAACAGCTTAGAAGCATATGCGTATAAAGATACACAACATATCCCTCCAAACTGCCAATATCCCGAACCCCTCCTTTAGAGTGCAGGCATTGTACTTCCCATTTCCACGACTCAAGTCCGGCTATATAAAAATAACTGGTTTCCCTGAATCCCTTCACTAAATATTACCCTGCTCACACTCCAACAGCTCGTCAGGTCCCAAATACCATTCGTCTCCATTCACTCCTATCGAACACGCTCACGCACGCTTGCTGGAAGTCCAAGCCCCTCGCCCACAAAACCTCCTTTACCCCTTCCTTCTTTTCGAGGACGACCCTTACCCCGCCTTCCTTCCTCTACAGATTTATATGCTCTCCATGTCATTCTACTTTGATCCATTCTGTCTAAATGACCAAACCACTTCAACAACCCCTCTTCATCCCTCTGACTAATACTTTTATTAACTCCACACTTTCTCCTAATTTCCACACTCCGAATTTTCTGCATAATATTTACACCACACATTGCCCTTAGACAGGACATCTCCACTGCCTCCAACCGCCTCCTCGCTGCAGCATTTACAACCCAAGCTTTACACCCATTTTTTTTTTTTTTTTTTCAACAAGTCGGCCGTTTCCCACCGAGGCAGGGTGACCCAAAAAAAAAGAAAGAAAATCCCCAAAAAGAAAATACTTTCATCATCATTCAACACTTTCACATACACCCATATAAGAGTGAAACACTTCAGAAATGTCATAAAGGAACGGGAGGTACAGGCCTCTATGGACAGATATGTTGTGCGACAGAAGTCCAGTGACTCTCAAGCTGGTCCTATTGGCATTAAAAGAACAAGGGAAGTAACCCCGGAAAAAGAGTTGCTACCTCAAGTCCTAATGGAAGGGGATTCCCCTTCTAAACACTAAGAAGATCCACACTCTCCCCTCCTCCCATCCCATCAATCATCACCAGATCTTCAATAAAGGTAAGTGTCATGTAACTGTGCATGTCTTCTTCAGTTTGTGTGTATTAAAATTAATATTTCATTTGGTAAAATTTTGTTTTTTTGAATACTTTGGGGTGTCAGGAACGGATTAATTTGATTTCCATTATTTCTTATGGGGAAAATTAACTTGATTAACGATTATTTCGATTAACGATGAGCTCTCAGGAACGGATTAATATCGCTGGTCGAGGGTCCACTGTACTTTCATACATTCCCTTCTTTGCCTCCATAGATAACGTTTTTTGACTCCACATATACCTCAACGCACCACTCACCTTTTTTCCCTCATCAGTTCTATGATTAACCTCATCCTTCATAAATCCATCCGCCGACACGTCAACTCCCAAGTACATATCTGAAAACATTCACTTCTTCCATACTCCTCCTCCCCAATTTGATATCCAATTTTTCTTTATCTAAATCATTTTTTTTTTTGCAAAAGTATAATAAAATAAAAAATGGCAATAAAAAGTTGGGTAATAAAGTCTAAAATAAAATAGGCAATAATAAAAAGTTTAAAATAAAATTGAGCAATAAAGTATAAAATAAAATAGGGCAAGAAAAGTATAAAATTTGGTAATAAAGTCTAAAATAAAATAGGGCAATAAAGTATAAAATAAAATAAGGGCAGTAATAGTTGAATAGGACAATGCTATGGTAAGTTACAATTAAAATAAAATAGGGCAATGATGTGGTGAGTTGCAAATATTTGATAAGTAGAAAGCAATAAAATTAAAAAATAATAGTAAATGAGATTGTGTAGAT